CGACAACGAACTAAAAACTTAGCTCAATACGTGCAGTGCAAGACGAGAGCTAGAGGCTTGCTCCGGAAGGAAACCTGGTAATATTTAAGTGTAGACTCCTGATCCTTTAGCGACGGTGGAATGTGCACATTAGAAATATCTATGGCCTCACCATAAAGGGCTGATGCTGTTAGCCTTGTAGCAAGAAAGCAATAGCCTCAGGTAGGAGCCCACATCAGCCGGCTATGATGCCCTTCGCCACATCCGGGGTCATAGGCACTTGCCAAAACTCCGAGACACGGGTGGTTTACCGGCCACCCACGTGGAATTGGCAAGCTGGGCTAGTACTGAAGCCGGATGCTACCCACCAGCAAAGCAAACAGACAACAACCGTTGATGGTGAGTCCTTGAGTATGAGACCAAATTAGAAGCGTCGCTATGACCAGTTAGATTGGATTAAACAGTGTAGACCTCGGTTAGCCTTCTGATACTCACTAGCTTGATCGTCAAGCATACACGAAAGTTATAACCGCTACCACAGAGAATTAAATCAGTAAAACGTATAATAGCACACAATAGAAGCAATACTGATAACAGAGAACAGAGAAGCACGCCACGATATTAACAAACAGCCATCGACGCCACATGCGAGGGATAGCATTTGACGACCTCATAATCGACATGCGACAAAGTTTTTGATAGATTGGAATATCTTCAATTTCCAGCAGGGATCACTTGGTTTGAGTTCAGCAAAGGTGTCAATGATTCCGTTTAAAATGTGAACAGGAATGACTTTCTTCTGCTCCCTCCCCTTCCCTTTGTATACTCATCTCACTTTGAGAAGAAAGATGCGATTTAGGTTCAGTGGAGACTACCGTAGTTACATTATACAACAACGCCTTTCTCGCTCTAATTTACACTGGGTCACCAACTTAGGTGTGATCACACAAAATCCCATTGCGAGATTCATTGGCCACCGTGACCGAAAGCCGACAATTCGATCTACTGGGACTTTTGCTAAAGTTCGATATATCCTCTCAGCTGCATGATGACTTTGCGCACCCCCTGCACTGTATGCCTTGAAAGCCGAAGGTACTCGTCCGCACGTTAATAGTTAGCCTTAGCTGATTAGGTTTTGCTAAAAGTGCTACCGTCACTGACTGGCCATGACTCGATTGTGCTGGAGCTTCCGTTATTTCATTATTTTTTGAAGTACTATCGGTAAATTTAGCATGGTCGAAGTCCCAGGCCACGATGCACTGCCGACGTGGAGCTATTGAAGGCTGAATTGCCTGAGGATAGTTCAGTGAATGAGAAACTATTGAAGTCATTTTGCTTCCAGGTGGGGTTCATACATATGATTCCCTCTTTTATGGGTAAATTTCTATTTTCCTCTTATTTTTAGGCTATGGGTAACCTGGTTACTATGGCATCCGTAGTCGGAGGTATTGCTGCTCAAGAAGCGATGAAAGCCGTCACTCATCATATGACTCCTCTGAAGCAGTGGCTCTACCTAGACAGTGATGACGCGTTACCCGGAGATTGGAGTCGGTTTGACAATGCCAAGCTAACTGTTGAAGATTGCAAACCTGTACGACTCATTCCGTCTAATCTGCATTTAAGGTTGAGTCATAAGTAATGTCCGATTTTTTCAAACTCTTACCATTCTTTCCAAGATTTTATTTATTTATTCTGCTCTCGCCAACAAGTTGTATAGATATGCTCTCGGTCCTTCATTTTACGAAACGGAAGCGTTTGTACTCAACTCTACTGAGTACTGAAGCCATCAGTTTCGAATCATGTTCACCACTGTTGTCTTGACGCTTCCGTACTGAATCACTCAACGAGAGGAGCACGTCAAAATATGTGTAGTTTGGAAAGAGCAGACGCCTTTATAGAAGGGCTGTCGAGATTAGTTGCGGAAAATTCGAGGAGGCTTTGTTGGCCTCAAGTTCGAGCAGGTCGATTAGGGCTTAAGGTGCTTCTTGAAGTCGTCTCGTCTCCAGCAGCCTTTAACTTATAACGAAACAGTACTTCTATACTGCATATTGGGCGCCCTCTAAGTTATCGGAAAATCGTGTAAGCAAATACGACGCATTCGACACGATTATGAGGACAAGAGTGATTACTGACAATTCTTCTGCACCTATCGAAGTTCGGGCAGCCTCAACAAGGCGTCACTGAATATGAGAAGAAGGCAGGTAGTGTAGCCCATTAGATGGAATGCTACAACCTAGGCGAGCTCCGAAATTAACCTAACTTCACCCGTGTTGCACTGCACACCTTAGACAATGAGATCATCGCCGAAGTTTATACGTAGTATTTGCAGCAGCGTGGTCTCACTGCTGACAACAGTGTTGCAGCTCAGTGCAAGTAAAAGTATTCTACTAGATGGCAACTCGAGACATGACGCGAACGTCAATCAGAAGGTTATACAGGAATTTGCCTCTACGCTTCTTCCCCACCCACTATTTGTAAGATTAAGCAGGTATAACTACTGTTTGTTCCACTACTCTGCTCCATTTCTACAGGTGAAGAAGAGTGACGATGATTGCAAATACCCTCGATTATTATTTGGGTGGAAGATTGTGCAGTTGTGGCGGAGTAGTACCTACTCTTTATTGAGTATGAAGGAGTTCTAGAAAGAT